AGAGTCTGAAACCTAAGTCAAACAGCCTCTTCCCTCCCGTGTGACCAAGGTCGCGGCACTGGTTCTGTCTCTAACACCAGTGAAAGTCAAGTCTCTGGGTGTGGAGTACAGAGAACAAAACTCTGGCTCCTGGGCCGAAGGTATAGGAACACACATGGCAACACCTAACTGGCAGAATGTTCTCCCAATTGAAGATACTGACCAACAGAAGGACATTTCAGCTATCCATTAGACAAAGGGTGTATGGCCATATGTTGATGATGTTGTAGGTATCATCTCCATTATGTGGTTAGGTGACATGGTAAAATAACACAGTGACACAATGAAACAAATAATAGCACTTATAAGTACTTACAACTATAAGAAACAGGATACAGCTGAAAACTGGCCACCGACATTGCAGCTAGCACCATAGACACCTGGAAGCTGTAGTATGGCCAGTATAAAGTGATGCTGCCTGTCCACAGGAACACCATTTTGTAGCTCACAAAAATGCACTGTGCAGGCTTGCAGGCTCTGCAATAACTCAGTGTCCTAATGGCATTTTCCGTACCAGGGTTTTGGATCAACTAACAGTCTTATATACAGTCTTTTATACAAAGGTTAGGGCCAGGTGTGTGTAGGAACTGCCTTCTGAGACTACTACCAGGCCTAAAAGAAAGGTGGGCATTGATTCCAATGGGAGCCATCATTGGTTTATTTCACTAGATGTACAGGTAGCTCCATAGGTATAAGGACCATGACATCAGGGTCACTCTTACTTTAAATTCTCTCTTACTTGGAATTATTTGACTGTTTCCTCTCACAACCAGCTTTCAAATCTCCATGGCCTCTTGAGCTTTCCGGGATGATCTCAGGAAACTCAAGACAGCCCTGAATGGATTAGGACCACCAGAACTTTATTTTTTTTTATTGTTCCCACTTCTATAGTACCATTTCTCAGACAATAATAATAATAGCAATAATAACCAAGATGAAAGTTATAGCTACCTATATTGCCTCCTAGGCAATTCGTGTATATATTCTTTCTAATTCTTGAAAATATTCTCCAGTATAAGTATGATTATTGCACATTTTAAAATATGACAAAATTGAGCTTCAAAGAGTTTTATTAACTGGATCAAGAAGCAAATCCATTAGAAATTCCTGTATTTGAACTCAGGTGTAGTTGGCTCTCAAGCCCTTGCTCTTAATCCCATGCTGCCTCAACCAAGGGCTTCATATTCATGGAACCTTCTGTAATAATGTTTCAAGCCCTCTGTCTGTTCCTCTTCAAAATCACCTTAGCATTCCATTATGCAAATTGGCAAGGTTTATGAAGACAGGTCTTAGGATTTTATGCTTATAGTTCACACATCGTAGCGCTTGTCACATCATAGTGTCCTAGAATGTTCCAGTGCGAAGAGCCCTTGGAGGTCACCAGGTTCAGCCTGAGGCCAAGAGAATTAGGCTCGTTTTCTTTCAATTGATTCTACCTCATCTGCCCTAAATTTTATTATTGGGGCTTTTATATGATCATGTTCTCAGGGCAAGCATTTGGTTTTATGAACAGTTTGAAGGACTATTCTACTTCTTAATACTATAGAAATTACAGGTCATAGTAATAATAAACACAGCATTTTTGCACAAGGATGGACATTATGAACTACTAGATCCTGCAAAGAAAAAAAAAAAAAAAAACATCCAACGTCACTGAGGAAGTCTCCCTGGTTCCGTTTTCATCTAATTAAAACGTCGAACAACAGTTGCCATTTTTGTTTAAAATACACGGAGACATTCATTTATATCAGTGTGTTCACATTTTGTGGTATCCAATGTGTGATGAATTTGTCTACAGAATTATAACCTTATGAAAAGAGATTATCATTTTTATGCTGAGACGACCTTAGCTGCAGTGGGTGTGAATGGTGTTGCTACAATAATTAAATCCAAAATCTTTCATAATCCTATGCTTTCCCTGGAGTAATGTTCAGCATTAGCCAAGGATGAAAACGCAAACAAGTACATGTATATTCAATAATAAAGCTTAATAGGTCAGGGAAGAAGTGGAATGAAATGAATGCGTAGCACCTCCAGAGATAACTAATGGTAGTTTGCCTTCCTATCCTGCCTATTTATTTCCTTGACTTGTGTTTACCAGGACTGGAATATATGCATCAAATTGTCCTTTATTAACAACCAAATCCATACCAAGCTTGTTGCATAGTAGGGGGTGGTTTAATGTGAATCGCTCTGTAGATTACCTGCCTATTTTCAAACTGTACATCGGAGGGCATTCATTGCCATGTTAAAATCATATGGAGTTGATTGGAGAGTAAAATAACTGCTGAGTTCAGGCCTCCATGCTCTGGCTCGGGATATGCTAGTTCTGCACAAAGAGTACAGCCCAAGGTTCCCTGAGCCCATTTCTAGATCTGGCCTTGAGATGCCTTTAGTCACCATGGCTTACTTTCCGATTGCTCAGTAAATTAACAGAAGAGCAAAGGCGCATGGAGGCTTCTGCTTGTACTGTTAATAGTATTAATGATGTGCGTTATTTCCAACTGAGATGACTGATATCTTTCCAAATGAGTCGTACCCTGTGTTAATTTTATGCTTTCATGAAGCATGTTCATATGTATTAGTACCTGTGCTGCTCACCAGTGCCCTCCTGTGAGAGAGCCGGAGTATTAGCACACTGAATGGATGAAGGACACAGACGAGACTCAAGAGCTGATTAATGCCTTACCCACAATATCAGAATGTACGATTAGCCAGCAGTTAAATCCAAATATCCTGTCTTCATGTTAACATAATTTGTGAGGGGATTTGTCATTGCTGTCTGTTTTCTTTCATATATCATCCTTCATAAGTTGTACTCACTAGGAAAATATTGTGTGGTCTCAAGTTCTGTGATGGTCTGGGTTCCATGTTTGCTTCATGACTTCTAGCCATATGGCCATGAACGAGTTCGTTAACCTCTCTAAGCCTCAGAGTCTCCATCAGGAGGGTGGGCCTGATAACAGCACCTCTTTCACAGGGTCATTGCAAGGACCAAATTCCATGCTGTTAGTCAAATACTTAGCATTTTCTCTGACGTGGAAAATGGACCCTCTAAATGTAGGAATCACTTATCATTTATTTTGTTGACCACTGGAATGTAAATTAACATGTAGATAAAAAATGAAGCCTTTTATAAAAAGTATAGGTAGTTTTTAAATATTTGAGTTTTGGACCTTACAATAATGATACAGCCTTAATTTCCCACAGCATGTTGTAAAGAATTATTTGTTTGGAGTCATAAGCCTATAACTACAAAAGAAATATCACTGCACATTTTCCTCTCCTTCTATAAGATCATCAAAACATCCATTAGTCTCTTGAAGGACAGTCATAAATCCTGCAAATTTAGTTTATCTGAAACTAACTCTACCAGTTGTCCTTCCCACCAATCATCCTTTATATCACTCTTCTGTCTGCAGACCTCAGAGAGTACATCCTGGTCTTATGTGGCTGAGCATGAAAGTGGGGGGCTCTGCTTTCTTTGGAAAATTACTGGATACAACCCCTACCTGAATCTCTTTCTAATGTTGGAACATTACCCCTAAAGTGACAGTTTTCACGTCAGAAGCTGTCCTTTCCCTTCCAGCTTCCCTTCTAGAAAAACACACTGGTGGGAATCCAAATATGGGAATTTTAGGACTGGCTATAGCAATAGCTAGCTGTGTGATGGTGTGCAAAACAGTTCACCTCTCTGAACATTTCATTCCTGGTCTGCAAAATGAGGCCAGTGGACTCATTTCTAGGAAGATGCTGTGAAGAACAGGGAGATAAAAGAGCTGTCCCCTCCTTTCCCATATGGGAACTAAGGGACTGGTGAGGAGCTAAGTGGGAAGCAGTCCTGTGAGCCAGCCAGACCTGGGTCCTGGGCAGAGGGAAAAGGTCTGCTTTCTGAAGTGAGAGTTCTTTATAGATAGCTTTTGTAGAAGAAGTGGGATATGACTGTACTATGGAGGAAAAATAGGATTTCCAGAGTAGAGGAAGGGAGTTCTCTCCTGGGAGCCGATCCTGATGCTGAACTAGAAGCTAGAAAGAATAGCACATGCTCAGAAAATGGTAAGTGGTCCAGAAAGGCTGAAACTGCCCCATCTTGAAGCGTGAGGATGGAGTCTAAAGATGTATTTAATAAATGAAATATGAACACCAATTGGTCTTTGAAGGCTGTTTCACTGGAATTTTAAATTAATAAGCCACTCCTCCTGTTGGAGCTCACAATTCGAGATACGGGAGATGGCACTGAAATTCAGAGCCCTGTAGAAACATAAGGCTTTATGTGTTGCAAAAACAATTTTGAGAGTAAAGTTCATCACAAAAACAGACCACTCATATTTTCTCATGTGCCTTGCCTTAGGAGAGAAAGATTTCTTATCCACTTGGGCTTACATCCCTTGGATCAAAGTTTACAGAAAGAGATGGGTCATATATCAAAAGGTTAATGACTAGCCATTTCTCACCCCGCTCTTTTGTGGCCATTGAACCACCCAGCAACAGAGGGCACTGAAAGGCACTACAAGTTCCCTGGGCCCTTTGCAGGCTGCGAGGACAGACTCTACAGCTAGGGGCTGTTATCATGCCCCTGTTCTTTCATGGGAAACTCAGAGCACCTTGTCCTGTGGAGATCCAATGCCGCATCTCACCTACACAGTGATTGATCAGTACATTTATTGCACTTTTAGTAGTAAAAATATATAGACTCCAGTCATCTCTGGAGATGCTGAAATTGTCTTTTTTTCCTCTTGATTTAGGGGAAGGTAGAGAGGGAAGATGTGTGCAGAGTCTGACATAAATATAAGAGCTCAAATATCTAATTAGCTGAAAGAATCTTGGTTCCCTCTGCACCTTTGACAGAATTGCAGCTGTCAGATTGTAGCTCCAATATTTTATCCCCATTGCAAGATGTATCGAAGGATGATTTAGAAAAGACGCCTTCTAACTGGAATGCCACTGTGCTTTCTTTGTAGGATGCTTGAGGATGATCTGAAGTTGAGCAGCGATGAGGATGACTTTGAGCCTGTGAAGACCTTGACCACACAATGTACTGCCACTGAGCTCTATCAGGTAGGAAGAGCTTCGAGCTTGGTTTAGGACCTGAGGGGAGGGAGGGAGAAAGAGGAACTAGAATAGTTTTGACATCCACAAGCCTCCCCTGCTTTACCTCTGGGCTTTGGGGAGATGGAAAGAAGCAAAGATGGGCATAGTGTTCTAGAACAGGTTGAATTAGCTCATGCTTTCATTAAAGCTATAGTAAGGAAATGCTGAGCTCTTTAAAACTGCTTTTACCTCTTCCCTCTACTTTTCATACACAAATATTGGGCATCAGTAATCAATAGAGATTGCCTTGCCCTGTCTTGGACTACTATTGTCTTGGACAAGGTATAACTTTCCTTTGCCGACTCCAGTGTGCAGCTGAGAGCCTACCCTCATTAATGCAGGTATAAGTGTAGACTGCTCCATTCACCTTTCCCAGGCCCACTGCTTCCAGGTGCAACTGAGAATCAATACACACCATCTTGCAGCTTACATGACCCTTCAGGCAAAAGGCATTTGGAAAAAAGCTTGCTGTTGCCCTTGTCTCCTTCTATTCTACATTATAAGTATTGATGGAGCGTTACTACCAAATGAGATGGCAGGAATGTGTGTCTTCAGCATTTCCAATGAGACTGGACTTCATAATTTGGAAAGGCCAAGTATCATTTATGACTCATGAGATCGACAATGTAGTGTGTGGTGTCAGTGACGCTTGTGCATTTTCTCTGTGACAGAGAGTTGTCTCAAATGGTTGGGCCTTCTGCATTACTGACAACCTCATGTAAGGAATACAGAAGTGTTGCCTTTTCAAAGTGAATACCTGACCAAGGCCTTCCTCCAGGGAGGTTTGCTAAGTTATCAAAATGAAATAGGCCATTTTAAGGAATGCTCATGCACTGGTATTTCAAGCTAGTAGACAAAAATGAAATTTCCATATTCACTAAATATTTCATGAGGAGGATCTTGAAAAGAAAAGCTTCTCTACAGTTGTGACCACACTGTAACGCCTGCCATTCTGCTATACTTTTATCATCAAATTCATCTGCAATGCTATATGGACAAAACTTTCCTCTCCTTTACTTTCCTTACTTTATTGTGCATGCATTTTTGATATAAGATATACAAAATTACATCTTTGCAAGTTTAGCGCTTTATCAAGAACAAGCACAAGGTGAGTGTAGACTACACGGCGCTGCCTAAGCCGATTTCACGATTGTTTCCCAGGGACTTGTTGCATATTGAGTGAATGCAAGCAGTCCCCGTTCCACTTGAGTCGTGGCAGGTGTAAAATGCACACCTACTTTCTGATGATTGCCATTTCTGCTCTCTGCATTTGATTCGCCAATGACAAGAGCATTATATTTGTAATTCAAACAAAACCCAGTACCAAATGATCCTAGATCATTAATTTTGACAAATCAAAAGTTACTTTTTGATGGAAAGATTTAAAGCAGAATTCAACAATAAGTGAAAGCAGATTTTGAGCACTGTCTTCTTCACTATGTGATTATATAAATGCAGTCACATTTTAGCTTATAAAATTGTTGATTTCTATAGTTACCTTAAAAATGACATTGTGTCTATTGGCCCAAATCATCTAAGGTTGACTTTATGCAAATGCTAAGACCCTCAGATGATAAGCATGGCTGAGTTGGGACCCAGTCCTGACATGCTGCCTGTAGAGGTCATGCCTGCCTCAGCAAGGCTTCGGCTCTCAGTTAAAATTAGGTGGGAGGTTGAACTGGGGGATCTAAAGGGAAGTCAAGTGACAACTTCTTCCCCCTTGCAGAGCACAGGAAGCAATAAATGGGCATGGCATTATAAACATTTGTAAATGAACCCTCCTTGTAGAGTTTAAAGTTTAGTTAAAAAGCCTGGAAGGCTCTAGACCAAAATAAAATTGAGAATACTTGTGCCATAGTGGTGGCAATGATGACCTAGTGTTTGGTGAGCTCTGGCGTTATGAGGCCTAACATTCTTTTTCAAAGATATATGGGTTGAAATCACTTTTCAAAATTTTTATTGTTGTAAAATTCACACAGTATAAAATGAACCTTTCTAAAGTGTACAATTCAATGACACTTAGTACATTCACAAGGTTGTGCATCTGTCACCAGATCAGAATGTTTTGTCCAAATGGACACCATTTACCCATTAAATAGTCACTCCCCATTCTTTCTTCCCCCCAGCCCCTGACAACCACTAAGCTACTCTTTGTCTCTGGATTAGCCTAGTTCACGTAAATGAAATCCTGCAACACGTAACTTGTTTTGTCTGGCTTCTTTCACTTGCCATAATGTGTTCTGGGTTCTTCCATGTTATAGCATATATCAGTACTTCATTCCTTTTAATGGCCAAGTGCTATTCCATGGCATGAATCAACCATATTTTGTTTATCCAGTCATCAACTGATGGACATATTGGTTGTCTCCACCTTTTGTCTATTGTGAATAGTGCTGCTATAAATCTTTGTACACAAGATTTGCATAGACATATTTTCAGGTCTTTAGGATCTGTGCCAAGAAGTGGAATTGCTGGGTCACATGGGAACTGTACATTTAAATTATTGAGAAATCACTGAAATCATTTTCTGTTACATATTATATTGTCATGCAGATAATAGAGTACTATTTCTTCAACTTATAATGGGAACCGCCAGACCTCTAGTAACTTCAGGAATAAGAGTCCTGAGATTCCCATTTTTGAGCCACCCTTGCTCCGTGCCAGGTACAAGTTAAGTGCTGTGATTCATCTGAACCTCACAGCAAGCCTTAGAGTTAGCTTTGGGCCTTCTGCCTGCGAGCAAGAGAATTGCAGACTCATTCTATTTGTGGGAGGAAACTACAAACAACTGCAACATCATATTCCCGAGGGCCCAGAACACAGCAATCGCATGAGCTGACATAGTTAGAAACTGCTCAGAAACAAGTAGCTACTTTCATGCAGAGCTAGACCAATTAAAAAAATACACACTTTCTGGAGATATCCCCAAATCACCTCATCTACATCATCTCACTATGATTGTCCAAGCTTAGTAAGTACACACCAGTTCTTTTTCGAGCAGCTTCTAAGACCTTGTGGCATAGTTAGGAACATAAAGATTCCCAAGAGAATGCATTTATGCATACATGAAAGTGAAATGCAGGATCATGATGTCTCGGCTTCGAACTTGGTCTTTGGGTTGCAAGTATCTTATAATCAGAGCACCTACCTTTTCCTGCCACCTGCCACAGAGCACGTGGGATGTGTGTTATTCCCTCAAATGACAAAATGGGGCATGAGGAATGGAAAAATAACAATATACAAATTAAAGATGCCCAGTGGTTAGCCATGGAGACTCAGGGTTATAAGAATACATTTTTAACATACAATTTTACCTTCTAATGACTCCTTTAAAGTCAGCAATGCGCGATCACATACATACAGTTTCAGTGAAGAAGCAATAGAGAGTGTAACATGAAAATATTTGTTAAAATCCTGCGTGTTCTCTTTACATTCATCATTGTGTTTTGATCTCTTCGTTGGGGATATTTGGGAAGCAGATGTGTCCATGCTGTGTTCTAAGGTTGAATGGCAATGCTGGGACAGTGTAGGGGGGTGCTTAAGAATATAGCTGTGCAGTTAGACAGATGTGGATGTGAACCCTATCTCTGCTGCTTTCGAACTGAGTGAAGTCCAGCAAAAGATGTAAATGCCTATAAAATGGAGGTAGGAATCACACGTGCTTCATTGGGTCATACTGGTAACTAATGATGAGGTGAATTGGTGAATGGATACAGACAAAATCGCTTGGCACATAGTAGTAAGCTTACCACTTTACATGCTAATCACCATCATTGTTACTACTACTAATAACAACGTAAAATGTATCATAGTCTTTGGGATCCTAGATATATTTACTTTCCATTTTCTTGTAAGGAATGGGATGTTAAAGACACCTGTTGAATTTTCTAGCCTATATGTGGCAAACTTGAACGAATAGGTTCTGCCTTGTCCACATTCATTAACTCCATGTACTTGGCAGAGAGGAATTGTAAGTACAGTCATTAAGCATGTTTTATGGAACAGACAAGCATGGCCTTCAAGCCCAGCCCTCACATACTAGCTGTCTCATATTGGGCAAGTTGCCTAATATTTCTAAGTCTCAGATCTCTCAATAATCAACTAGAATAAACCAGTTTTGTCTAATTCACAGGAGTCCTGTGAGGATCAAGTGATGATAGTGCACAAGAAAATCTTTGAAAACCACAAGCCCTACACAAGTAGGTGGTGGTTCTGTCTTGTGGCCCTTCTAAACATTAACTAGAAGCCCCCTCTTTGGATCCATAAGGAAATATATATTGCCTTGGTGTCCATAGGGTTCTTCTAGGGACTGGATTGAATGTTCTAACTGGCCTCCAAAGACACCTACCAAATAGGAACGACCTTAATTTTCTTGTGAGTCCTGACAATGTTTAAATTAAAAGTCCCATAAAGAAATGCCAGATTGCCAGTGATCCCCCAGGAAACCAAGTCTTTCATGAAATGACATGTCTCTGAAAGAGTTTTGCTTCAAAGGATTAACATGGGTGAAGAGTTGATTCATACCCTTCTATAGCAGCTCTTACCTTCTCTTTCCAAGTCCCTCTCTGTCCTAGAGGAAAGCTAAAGGACTCTGCTATGATCCTGTACTCACCTTGGTTCTTTCTCAGGAGCCATCCCTGAACAGAAAAAAAAAAAAAAAACAATTAAATTTGTGATTGGACATTGCAAAAATCCAGAACAGTGCTGAAATTGGACATGAGGACATGGTGCTTTTTATTTATTGTCATATATATGCATATATATATATATAACACACATATATATATATTACACACACACACATATATATATATATATATACACACATACATATTTGGATATCAATGACATGGTTGAAATTTGTGGGCTACCTTATGTTTATTACCCAGCTAACTGTATTTTTCCTTCTCAGCTCCCACTGTTGGCAGCATAGATATAAAATCTAGCCCTGGCCTTCCTACTGCGGT